TAACCTTAACCCATTGGGGAAGGAATTAATCCGCTACCTGCAGCACCCTCTGGCGGCAATTAATTTTACCGAATTTGTAGACTTTTACTCTAACTGCTATAGAAAGAAAACCTTAGGTAATAAATTAATAATTCTTTCACCATTTTGTTCACAGTAAAATTTTCTACAGAAAAGTGTTAATTGGATAGGCCTAGTCAAAGATTTAAACTAAAAAAATATATATATATATAAAGATTATAAAAATAAAAATTTTCAGAACAATATTTTGAAAGTAAACTTGATATACAAATTCCAAGATTACCGGTAATCCAGACACCAAATAACACTACTATTATAAAGGTCGATCGATTCCCTACGTAGAAAAATCAAAAGTTGTGTACTATTATAAGTAGGCTAATAACATTTTTTAAAAATTGTTTGTTTACCTTACCGCAGCTGACTTTTAGTGATATGTGGTTTCCATGGCAACAAAAAATTGTTTGTTATTCGCTAAAATAAATGAGTAATACGCAAATCAAGAAGCAAGATATTTATAAACATTATAATAGTAAGAAGAAACAAAAAGGGCGAAAAATAATAATAACTAAATAAAAAATGGCGCTGCCTAGCGGTAACACGAGCGGCTCTCGTAAGTCGGCCTCCGGGCCTGCAGCGGCCGTACGAGTAACGCTCGTAAGTCGGCGCCAATGGGTTAAACCTAACTAACCAAACGATATACGGTATATCGATCGACATTTTCATTCGGTTGTTTGTGCCAACAGATATGGAAGTCTAGGCCTACCCTTTAGGCCTAATATTTTATGTGCAGGGCCTAAGTGTAAGTACCGGTACAATAATTTTGCCCCAAATGAGGCTACAAGAATTATGGACTGCCTGTACGATAATTTACCCTGGCCAATCTGGCAACACTGGCTGTATGTGAGTTAAAATGTGGGTCGTACAGCCCTTGGAATTGCACGACATTAGATCACTCACCTTTTGGAAATACACAGTAGAAAACATTATTTCCCCAACCATGCTCTGGGGGGTGAAGCCTTCCTTCTGCTAATCGGACTCCCCGCATGGTTCCTGTTTCTGGGTTGCGGTATTTCAGCCCACATGTGCCTGGGAATTGTGCTGATAGAGTTGACAGTAGTAAAGTGCCATCATCTTCAGAAGGCAATTCGATTGGTTCTTCTCCTTCATCTTCGGCGACTTGTAGGTATGTACTCATATTTTAAAATTAAAAGGTGTTCAAATACTAAAAGCACTCGGACACCTTAACAGAAAATACTAAGTTACACAGGTACCCAAGACTAAATTAATAATAGTCTCACTAGTTCGCTACCTAACCTAGTTTTAGCCAAAAGGAAATGTAACTTTACGAAACATTAGCCTATAAACCGGATTAAAGATGGATTCTCGGTATCTCTAATGTCCCAAAATTAATTCATTGTTTACAACCGGGTAACTAACAGTTTGCATCACACAATAATCACTTTGGATTATTATCAACCTAAATACTGTCCCCTACCCAACGTCAACCTGAACGTCTAACGTTAACGTAAACGTAACGAAATACTCCGAAAGAACTACTCCGACTCCGGAACGACAAGTCCAACTCCGGCTCTTGGATCGGAGTTAGTTAGTTCCTCTCGGAACTAAAGATAATCAAGAGACCGTCATTGGTTATGATACATTATGTAATAAATTAGAGGTTGTTGTAGTAAATAAATATTTGAAATTTTAGAAAATCTGTTTAAAATGAATGTAGGCTATTATGAACAGTAATCGACTAATGAGAGGGGAGCAGCAGTGCAGAACACCTAACATCACAAGAATACGACTGGAACGGAACGACTAACGACTCACTCACTGCCATACTTACTGTTTCGTCATTATTCATTCCGCTTATTCAATAACGATTACTGGAATGGAACCAGGAACTATCATCCAGAGGGGATGCGAAGTAAGTAAGTAAGTAAGTAAGAAGAGGAACGACGGACTGGAACTATGAGCTCTGAACCAAAATGGTTGGTGAGTGATTCTTGAGTGGAAGCGCTCCACTCCGAAAGTCCGGTGTTTAGCGCTCTTCTAAACGGAGTTGGAACTAGGCTACTCCGCGGAACTAGTTCCGACAACTCAATAACTCCGGAGTGAACGACTCCACCAAGTGAACGATAATTCCCATCTCTACTTAACGTAACGTGACGTGAAACGTGACGTGAACCCGTCCCGTCCCCGTCACAGAAAACGCTGAAGGACTGGACTGAAGTGGAAATTGAAGAAAAGTGAAAACTCGAAAAGTAAAGTAAACTCGACTGAACTGAAATTGAACTGAACTGGGAACTGGAACTATTTTAGGAAAGGAAAGGAGCAACCATAGATAAAACATTACGTATGTTTTATCAAAGATTACATATGCTACGCACGGAGCAACTAACGTACAACCACGGCCGCCTTGGTTGTACGGCGTACACTCGTACAGCAAAGACTAGCTGCTATACAGACCAGTGCAGACCATGACTATAGAACTACAACAACAACAAACTTAGAGATATAACACAACAATCTATTGAAGTTTTTCGGAAAATTTGCGCCCCGCCCCTTAAGTTGTCGACAACCCCTGGAGGCGACGACATGGGTTTTTACACTCACCTAGGCATGCACCCATTACCAAAATCAAAAGCCAATTTAAAAGAATCTCTTACTTACGTTAAATTACAAGGGAGTTAAAAGCGCTTTGCAGATTAAAGTTTTTCGCATCTTAGAGCCCAACCCCTAAGTTGTCAACCACCCCAGGAGGCGACGACATGGATTTTTACACTCACCTAGACCCCCATTACCAAAATCAAAAGTCAATAAAAAAAAAATCATTTACGTTCCATAACAAGAGAATTATCAACGGTTTGCCGATTTAAGTTTTTTGCAACTTTGCGCCCCCCCCCCCCTAAGATATCGACCACCCCTGGAGGCGACGACATGGGTTTTTACACTCACCTAGGCCCCCATTACCAAAATCAAAAGTCAATATAATAGAATCTTATATTTACGTTTAATAACAAAAAAACAAGGGAGTTAAAAGCGCTTTGCCGATTAAAGTTTTTCGCAACTTTGCGCCCCCACCCGGCCCTAAGTTGTCGACCACCCCTCTGCTGGAGGTGACGACATGGGGTTTTACACTTACCTAGACCCCTATGCCCAAAATTAAAAGTCAACATCTCTGACTCTTTTCATGCATACTCAACTGCACCTACTTTGTTTGCTTTTTTGTTACTTTTAGCGAATTTCCCATATAGGGAATAAGCTATTACCGTAGTACTCATGGTAAGACCTGGACCCGGGACCGATTTTTTTTTCGTTTTGAGGTCCCTAGAGGCCAAAAATAGCATCCGTTCAAATTCATATATATATATATTTATATATATATATATTTATTTATATATGTGTGTCCGTTAGCGCGATAACTCGAGCAAAAATGATCCGATTTTGATTAAATTTGGTACAAACGTGTAAACTTACGTTTATTCGAACGAGTTCGCGAACCAGCATGATCGGCCCATGGGAACGGGGGTTTATGGGGGCTTTTATGGGGTAAAAATGGGTTTTTCCCTTTTTTAACCCAAAAAACTTAAATTTTTGCAATTTCTTTACAAACTATTTTGTAGAGCTTAAAAAAAACAAATAATTTAGTATATTGAAGTGTTATAATGCGCCTAATGGTTACGGAGAAAATTCAAAAAAATTGTAAATTGAAAATTCCCATGTTATTCTTATAGGGGATAAGTAAACTGTTGTAGTTTGCTTATTTATTAACATATTTTGCCCAAATTTGGAAAATGTTTTTATTTCCTACTAACTATTAACATTTTACATAAAAAAAACACTTCAACCCTCCCTGTTGCAGCAAACCTAAGTATGTGTTAAACTGATTCGATTTAAATAGGGAATAAATGTGATAATTTTAAGGAGATCATTTTAGTGTAAATCCAATCAGGCAAATGGAAATTCGCTTAGTCTGCAGGTTTGCTGTGGTGGGGGTATTTTATTTAGTATTTAGTAGCGCCTGTACTAATTGGTCAACAGCTACATTGCAACAACCCACAAAACACTAGGTTTTTTTATTTGGTTGTTGCCTTTTGTTCTTTGTCCTTGTTCTAGTCACTAACTGTACATTTCACCTGATTGAGGCATCTTCAGAGTGTCTATAGTTTATTATTAAACATAAATGCCACTATTTACAAGCTTCGTGAGGCACTATTGTTTATTTACTTACATCACTTACTTACTTTGGGTTACACCGGCGGCACGGCGGGCGAGTGTCGGGTGGACGGCCGTTGTCCATTTCCATTGGCAATTTCATGGTGGTGGGTGACTGCGCATGTACACTTGAACTGAACGCCATCAAATAACAAAATAAAACAACCAAAAACAAATTTAACTTGGTCTTATGTATACTAGTTGTTCTGCCCGTCTTCGACACGGGTCAAGAACAACATTAAGAAAATAATGTGGGTCTCTAAATCTACTGTATTGCCTTTGTTGCTACACATACTTCCTATGGATTATATGGGCAAATCTCAATCGCACATTGCTTATATTAGTTATAATCTCTTGTGCATTTTGCATTAAACTGAGTGGAAGGGTAAAAATTAATAACTTATTGTAATGTAACCATCTTTGATGTGGGGAGGGTTGATCGAAAATCTAATATTTTCGGGAAGTTTCACATCAAGACCATTCAAGTATGTGGTTGATAGGCTGTATGTCGCTTGCGTGTTTTAGATTCACATATAGATCTCTTACCGAATGAAAATATCGATCGATTTTTTGATATATCGTTTGGTTAGTTAGGTTAGGTTAACCTTACCTAACTAACCAAACGATATATCGAATTAAACAATCGAATAATCAATATTACTAATTCGGTTGTTTGTGCCAACAGATATAGAAGTGTACCCATTTTCGGTCACCGTATTATTTGTCAACGTATTTGTTACAGCTGTTAAAAGTTACAAATAAAAAAAATGTATTTCACCAGGTTAAATTTGTTTGTGGAGTAAAACCTATCCAAATTAAACTTTTCTAAGTATGAGTCTTTGTTGAAAGGTCAATGAAGTTTACTAGGTGTAAAAAAGTTTTCTGTGAGTATTCCTTACCACCTAGAAAGCAATAGCTTATGTATAACTTGGAGCTCTTTTGAGTGAAAAATTAGTTAAAATTTGACCTATATAGGTTTCATTTAACATTTTAAACCCACTTACAGTATGGCGATTTCGTTTACTAAAATTATTACTGTTTTCTAATTGCAGACTTTTCAGGCATGTAGAATGTTGATCCACGAGTACCGGGTGATCTTGCCAGTGACGGTGGAAGAGTACCAAATAGCCTCCCTCTACACGATAGCCCACATGAGCAGAGAGGAGACTGGCGGAAGTGAAGGCGTGGAGGTTGTGAAGAACGAACCCTTCAGCGACTACCCTCTCATGGACGGCAAGTACTCTTCGGGACAGTACTCCTTCAAAAAGTACCACCTGGATAAGAAGATGCCGACGATACTGAGGCTGATATCTCCCAAGGGCTCGAAGGAACTTCACGAAGAATGTTGGAACGCGTATCCATACTGCAAAACTGTTATCACCAACCCGGGGTTCATGAAGGACGATTTTCGTTTGGAGATAATCACGATGCACACGAACGACAGAGGGAAAGAGGAAAACGCACTCCAACTTTCTCAAGAGGTTCTGGGACAACGGGAAGTGTTTGTTATAGATATCGCCAACGATCCTGTGGCCAGTAATGACTATAGCCGCAACACTGACCCCAAGTTATACCGTTCTGCCAAGACCAACCGAGGTCCTTTGCAGGGTGATTGGGTAGACACTGTGACTCCTGTTATGACGTGCTACAAACTCGTCACCGTCCACTTCCGATGGTTCGGTCTGCAGAACAAGGTTGAGAAGATTTTGCAGAATTTCCAACGACGTTTGTATACCGTTGTCAACCGGAAGCTGTTTTGCCTTATGGACGAGTGGTACAATCTCACGTTAGAGGATATAAGGAAATTTGAAGAGGAAACCAAAGCTTTTTTGAATCAACAACGTACGTGTGGAGTGGTTACAGGGACCGTGGATTTCACATAGTTTTTCACCTCATATTTGCGTGTAATATAAGAATATTTAAATACAATTTACCATGGGCCCCAACCTATTTATTAAAATTTTAGGATAGTGGTATATTTGGTTTTTTGCACTCGGCGTTGATGATGGTGGGTGAATCGTGTCAATGAAATTGTCACAACCCTTTTATAATCTGGAAAATGATCCCGTCTCCATGTATTTTGTATTTTAACGCCAGTGCGTAGTGTTTCTTGCCTTCTCAGTTTGGTTTCAGCGCGTTTGACTAATTTCTTGTTTACTGTTTTGCCACTGCACTAAAAATGTTTACAAATTTAACCTAGTTTTGTCCCCATAATTGACTTTGTAGTGCGCCATCCGTATCCAAAACTTTTATACTGTTCAATTTCCTGTGTGGTTCCAACGCGCGTTTTCCAATCAAGTTTGGCATGTGTGCTCCATCCTATCTTGTTATGTTTGACATACTTTCTTGCCTGAAGTGAATTCCATATCGTAAAACTTCGTGAAACAACATTTTCTAAATAATATGGTAAATGGCTGGAAGAATTAGTTAAATTTTACATATTTGTGGTTTAGGCCCTTCCTTTTTACACTGAGAACGATATAGTCAATCCAACAGCTACTTTATTGTGCAATTTTTATACGGTAGTAATATACGCTACGAATTCTTTAATGAACCGCCAGACAAAGTTTAAAGAGTAAAAGTTAGCGGTTTCTGTGCGAAATCATTTGTATATTTTTATAGAACACTTATCAGACTTTCATAAAATATTTAAATTAAAGTTTCTGGGCAAACAAGCTTTCCAGAGAGAAACCTACAACGATAGCTTGGCAGTCTGACGGGATGGTGCAAAGCAACAAATTTATTTTAACTTATATAAAAATCAACATGTATAGGTACCTGATATGTGACCAGAATTCATACGTATGTTGACAGATTGACATAAATAATAATAGCTATTGATCAGTCAACCAGAACTGTTGACGTAACCACAAGATAATGATTACTTTTGAGGTTTTTACAAGTGAATGGCGATCCATTACCTCATGCCATATTGGGCAACCCAAGATGCATGGAGTAAAAGTAAAATGCTTTTACTCCATGCATCTTGTGGGCAACCATCCTCGGCTTAAAAATAAAAGACTATTAATTTAGAAATTTTGCTAACAGATGTGACCCATAATGATGAATTTTCATCTACCAATAGTCAATGCTCAGTACATTGATTTTGAATATTGATTAAGTATTAAGAGAGCAGGTTGTAGCATCGTATGGAACACAGCTTATCCAGCTATTTGCCTTATAACTGCTTGCTTATAGATATTTGTCCCACAAGTGGCTTGGTTATAGTGCTCACCTAGGAGATCGAAGGTTGCTGCCCACTGGTTCGATCCTGATAAAAAGCAAAATCTTTTAAATGGTTCGAAACTGGATCCAGTTAACCTTGATCATTTTGGTATTTTATATAAACGAAAATGATCCTAGTTAAAGAATCAGATCCATATGAATTTAGTTAGTACTGTAACATACAGCTGTAACCTCGCACTCATCTTAGTAAAAATACCCCCGCCGCAGCAAACCTGCCGACTAAGCGAATTTCCATTTGTCTGAATTGATTTTAAATTAAATCTATTTAAATAACATTAGGTTAACGAGTACCTAGGTTTGCTGTTACAAGGAAACTATTGTGGGGTTTTTGGTAAAATATTAATAGCTTAGTGCAAAATAAATAAATTTGCCAAGTTTTATCAAAATATATCCATAAACAAGCTAACTATGACATTTTACAATATGCTCCATTAGCATAACATAGGAATTTTAAATTTACAATTTTAAAATTTTCACCGTTACTAATAACCGTACAAAACAACTTCGATATACTAAATTATTTGTTTTTTTAAGCTCTTTAAAAAAGTCTAGAGAGAAATTGGGAAATTTTGTGTTTTGAGGGTCAAAAATGAGAAAACCCATTTTTACCCCATAAAACCCCGTTCCCATGGTCCGATCATTCTGGTTCACGAACTCATTCAAGTTATCCTACCTTACACCTTTAAACTAAATTGTATCAACATCGGACAAAAATTACTCAAGTGATCACGTTCACGGACGTATACATATACTATACATATATGAAAATTTGAACGAATTGTGTTTTTGGCCTCTGGGTGGATCAAAATGAAAAAGTAAATCGGTCCCGGGCCTAGGTCTTACCATGCTACCTACGGTATTAGCTACTTCCCTATAGGGAAATTCACTAAAAAGGCACACTCATTTGCGGTCCCAGGATTTCACTTCGGGAATCGATGATCACCGTGGTGGGAGGGGGGTTGGGGGTATGAAATATCCCCCAGAAAAAAGGGGGTCCTGCCCCGCCCCGAAAAATGTGGAATTTAAAGCAAAAAAATGTATTATTATACGTACTTGAGCTCTAAAATATGCTATGTATTTTTCCTTCCACCATGGCTCAAGCTAATAGTATTTATGTTAGCTAATAAAATATCAAATATTTTGGCGTGGGGACACAATATTCCTAGGTAGCCTACTAGACGTTCTTTCTGTAACAAAACTGCCACCTACGAACACTATTTTAGTGTGGTTTTCGCAGGAGGAAAAGACAGACGACTTTGTATAATATTACAGATAGAAAGATAGTCCTATTAATTTGAGATTCGATAGGGCGCTAACATATGTACCTGTCACTATACCTATCTACTAGTGGTCATTCGTATGGTAATGCTTGTGCTTTGAATAAGTGAAAGCAAGTGCTATGGTATGTAATCTAAATGGGTTGACTTTATTCCGACTTGATTGTATGAAGAAGGTGATAAACCAGCTGATCGTCCCACGAACAGCTGTTGTCAATAAAGTCTGCCGACAACAATAGATTGCTCAAGATGACATTCACAACGCCTCCTTGATCCGATGCAATTCCACTCTCGTTGCAGTCATACACCTGCACAGTTTGATTTGCAACATAACATCATTGACTATGGATATTGCATGTAGACTCATAATATTGTAAATCTAAAGCCTGTTTGTATGTGTGTTTTATGTTGGTGGCGTCTGAGTGCGCTGATGTCGACTAAACGTTTACCTTAGTTTGCATTTTCTTTTTTATTCCGTAATAATTAAACTTTTCAATAATTCATCTTATAGACAATAACAGACTAAAAAATAAAATCATAGTTTAATTTGATTTCCTTGCTACACTTTCATTGCCATGCATCAGATGAAGACAGTTTTATTATAGCTATTAATGTCCGGTGAAAGGTTAATTTTTTAAACGTGATTCAAACTGAACTTAAAACGCACATGAAAACTTTGTGCTTTTTTACCCGCTGCTTCGAAATGTCGTAGTTCAAAGATAACATGTATAATAAACGGTATCAGCAATATGACACATACTTTTTCCCATAAGCTTATCAACAACCTTTATCATGGATAAGCGGTGGGAGTAACTATGATATTTTATAGGGGAAAATCACAAAAGTTGCAATAACTTATGAACTGTAATTTTTACAGCAATGGGGTTTCCACTATTTTGTTTAGAATTATAAGCACCATAGACACATTAATTTTAATCAAAACCAGTTTATTTCCTAAAATCTGATTTTTTGTTATTTTTTTATAACATAAGCTACAAGAACTTTTGAACTGTAATTTTTACGGAAACGGTAGATTTACAATTTTGTTCAAAATTTAAAGGACCATAATTTAAATCGAAACCGGCATTTTTTTAAATCCGATTTTTCGTTATTTTTAAAAAAAAAATACATAAGTTACAATAACTTTAGAACCATAATTTTTACAGGAATTGAATTTGTACAATTTCATTCAAAATATATAGGACTAGATAGTTAATTTTTAACAAAATAGTTTGGTCCATTTTTAGAAAATCAGATTTTCCAAATTTTATGAAAAATCACAATTAAAAATAAAAATTTCGAAAAATTGAAAACAGTGACGCTACAACATTTTGATGGATTTTTATGTATGTTTGGTAAAGATAGTACCTGTAAACAAAAAACACATGTACTGGAATGTTTGAGCTCGTTACATTTTACTTCATTTATGAAGGTTGCAGCATGCTTTGAAAAGTTTAATAATTGTCAAACAAACGACAGTTTGTTAAAATCTGATCGTCTGTCCCACGGTAGAACTTCGACCCTCAGCTATGTAAAAATGGCATTCGATGTTTGGTCATTATGACTCACACCTAACACCTTGGACATTAGCCCATTTCAAAAATTAATTTATGAACTGAAATATTTTGTCTTTGCATGACTCAGCATGAGCGCAATATTTGTTATCTTTTGCTGTATTTCAGTGTAGACTACTCATACTTGTAAAACTTCAAGCCTATTTTTTGTGTAGGCCTATCACGCCAAGCGACGCTTGAGTGCGTGATTCGTCTTCATCGTATTCATTTAATTTATTTAAGGCATGTTTGAAAACCTGTACTTTTAATATCAACGAATTAATTGGGGGAGCGGGAGGGTGTAGTGGTTAGAGCGCGGGACTTCGGTCCCTGAGGTCCCGGGTTCAAATCCTGCCAAATCACCAATGGATTTTATCTACGTGATAAGGCCGCAACCCATAGTTCTAGCCTGAAGTAATGTGAAAAAAATACCGGGCTCGTGCCTAGTAACAATAATCCTCTAGCATGATTGTTATAACGAAGTCAAATATTAACACCTTCTGAGAAAGTCAATTAGTAGTTGGGTTTTCACCTCAGAGCAAGTATTTATTATAATTCAACAGATACCTTACATAAGTTTTTTTCTTGCTCAAAATAAAGAATTATATACTACTAACTTCAATACTTCAAATATCGCAATGCCAAACTTACCCACTATCCTATATTTGGATTATTCATAAACAATTTTATTCGTCAAACTTAGCATTTTCATCATACGAAACCAGTTAAGACACTATATTTTTTTATGGAAACTTTTCTAATAATTATTATTTATTGAATCCGAATACACTGGCATACAGTACCTACTATAATTACAAATTTAACTTGTTCAGTTTTCCACTTGAAGGATTTCTCTCCCGACAATAATCC